GGCCCCCACCCCCTCCCCTCCCGAAACACCTATCAAGACCCCTAGGTCTTGGAATCTCGAAGCTCTGGGAGTTAAGGTTTACGGCTTCGGTCGCTCAGTTGTGGCTGGCACCTTATCACAATCTTTGCACTTGAAAGTGCCGTTGCAGGCAACATTTTTTGAATAATTGTGGCGTGAATGAGGGGCTTGTTCTTGAAACCAGCACATCCCGAACTGTCGGCCGAGCTTTGAGAAAGTTCGTTTCCAATTATTCAGATCCCCATATACACCCCCACCAAGACGCCGCAGAATGCTTGAAGCCCTGACACACCCGAAGCCTTGCCAAACCCAAGAGGATGCTCGATACTCTGTAAGCAACCCTATAAAACCATTTTTAATATGAGACGGTATAGCCAAACAGTACCCTGTATGAATTCAGAAAGCTCTTTACAAAAAGCCCATGGCAAGTTTTAAAAATGCGATTCAAAACGCATACACCAGAGGTCGCGCACAAGAGCTGAGAACAAGTCTGAAAGGCCCGTATCAACCCGCCAAAACCTTGTTGGAAGCTCATAGGACCTTTTGTCCCAATTCTAAAGCACGCAAACCAACGCCGCAATTACGGCCACCCCCACTAAAGGCTGTAAGCAGCCCCTCAACACACCGAAATCCTCAACTCTACATTCGTCAACCCTTTTGAAAACCAGGAAAAAAGCATAGGGAAGCCTTTGCTTTCAAACTCAAAAAGGTGCTTAAACAACAACCCTAAACCCTAAACCCTCTTGAAGCTGGAAGACTGAGGAGGGAAAAAACCCATCAGTCTTCCAGCTTCAAGCCGCAGAGGGCCTTCTTTCAAACTGAGAAGCAACCCTTCGAAACTCTTCTTCAAACACCAAGACAAGCCCTTTCAAATCCTCAAAAGATCCATTAAAGCATGTGTTACAAATACAAAGATGTGTATGTAAACATACACACACACACACGCATACATATATATATATATATATATATATATATATATATACAGATATAGCTACCAGTGTATTTTAGATTACAGGTTATATATGTACATATATATATATGTATGCATATGCATATGTATATGTATATGAATGTGTTCTTGTATATGTATGTTATTATTTTGAAGGCTCTTGCCGACTTCTGGAGCCCCGGAAGCCACCGAGGGCCCCGTGGCATCGAGGCATTTGCCTTGGGGTCTCAGGCTTCGGGAGGGTTTGGGACTTCGGGTTTAGGGTTTAGTGCCTTAGGGCTTGGGGTTTAGGGTTTATAGGGTTGAGGGTTTAGGGCTCATCATCAAAAAAGGCGAGATTAAGGCGTAGCATAAAAAGGAGGAATTGTGGTTTAGGGTTTATGCTCAGAAAGGGGGGTTAGGGTTAAGGGTTTAGTGCTCAAAGAAGGATGGATTAGGGTTTAGGGCTCGGTTTATGCTCAAGCAGGCGGGATCAGAGTTTCGGCATAAGGGTTGAGGGATTAGCGTGTAGGGTTTGCGGCCACGAGTGCAGTAGCTCGGAGATACAGGCGGGCATGTGCAACTCTGCGCAAAAAAAGGGAGTGATGTTTTTGGCGCTGAAAAGGGGGAGGGGGGCATAGGATTTGAAGTTCAGCGGGGCGTTACAAGGACAAGGGGCTTAGTTTCGGGGTTTCTGGGTTGTGTCAAGGATTTAAAAAAGGGAAGACTACATGATTAAATGTCTCGGTGCCTAACAAGGTGTAGGGGTTTGGGCGTTGCGGCAGGTTTGGGGCGTCTAGGGTTTGAGGTTTCGAAGGGTGCAGAACTTCTAAAGTTAACCAAGGGTGCAGAAGTCAGGGTGTAGGGCTTGTGGGTAAACCGGGCTCAGGGTGTTCCAAGGTGTTTAGCATTTGTGGTACGAAGACGCGTTTGTCGTGGTGCTGTCGGCTTAGGGGTGAGCTCCCCTAGATTTCGGTGTTTTGTAGATTACGAAAGTCGCCTTAGGAATTATTGTTTAGTTTTTGTTCATATAAAACCCACGAGAATATTACACATATTATTTCCATTATGGCTGTAAGCGGGGTATAGATTAGTGCTATCGGCTTCACGGGCTTTCGCAGGCAATCCTTCTGTCGTTTATTGTCGTTTCGCATGTTTAGACGTTACAGAGTTTATAAAATAATTCGCAGCGTTCAGAGGGAGTTTCAGAGTTTGTACGGATTGCCGTGGGAAGTTTAAGAACGGCTCCACCGACAAGTTTAAGTGGGCCAGGTGAGGGCTTTACTGTGATTGCATCTGGAGCCATGGGAACTGACAAGGGGTTGTCAGGGGTTGCAAGGATGTTAACAGGGTTTCTTAGGCTTTTTGGTTTTGTATGGAGGGTTGTGTGGGTTTCTTTCGCGTTGGGGTGTACGTTTGAGGGTGACTGTAGGCGTTAAAGACTCCTTACCGAAACTGTTTTGAATTTGTGGGTTCCTTATGATACTTCGAATAATATACCCCAACAACCTATGCTATGTTGAGGCCCCGGTTTTTTTGTCGTTGGCGGTTGAGTGGTGCGGCCTTTGGTTGGGGGTCAAGGTTTCAGGGCTTTATGGAGAGGTTGCACTAAGGTATAGGCTTTAATTAGGGCAGAATGCAACCAGAGTGTTTCAATAATGGGGTTCTCCAACCAGGGCCATTAGCAACGAGGCATCCTCTATGGGCTAGTTTGGAGGTTTGGACTGGAAAGAAGCACGGTATAGGCGACATGTGTTCCGAGCGCATTGCATGGAGATACTTCTTCCCTCGGACACGCACGCACCATGTTAAGACATGCAACGCTGACCCAGATTCATGCGCTTTGAGTCAGCGTGCTTTGTGTGTTCATCGGCCGCAGAAGGGGCATGACAATACGTCCGAAGTCCAACCAGAGAGTTGTCGTCCCATACCGAGCATTTAATGGAGGGGCTTGGATAGATATCATGCGTGTGCTTCGACGTATCCACAAATTTGATCTACAAGCTATATAAATAAGTCTTTGAAATCGGGTTAAAACCCTTCCGGAGACCTCGACATTCCCCACAAGACCAGCAGGAACCCATTAAACCCATAAAACCCTACGGGCCTTACGATGTCAACCTTACCCAGAGTGAGTTGCTATCCTAAGCCCTACACCCCTAAACCACAAAAACTCTAGACCCTGAGTCCGAGTTGCAAGTGCTAGGGGCCCAAAAAGCACATAAGCATAAGTATTTTATTGGATTATAAGGGGGCTTATATGGAACATCCCTATACTAATTGTTGCTTATGTGCTTTTTTGGGGGCCTAGAGTGTTTAAACCCCGAAACCGTTAAACCCTAAGCCTTCTTTGAGTGGATTTGTCAGTGCAGGCACCGAGGCCTTCCTCGGAGACGCATTGGTTTGCCGTCTACCGGCCCACCAGCCGCGCCTTGTTTAAGTGTTTAAGGGGGCTAGGGTTTGGGGGTGTAGTTTGTTGGGGTTTAGCTAGGTCTTTAAGGGTTTAAGGTTGAGTTAGAGCTCATCGAAATGAGGCTTAGGTTTTAAGGGTGTCATATATATATATATATAGCCACTGTCTTGCGGCTTTAGCGCTTTAAGGGTTTTCGGATCTTGGTTTTGATGTCCGACACCCAGCGCTGTCTTGGTTGGTATCCCTAGTCACCTGGTCTTGCTGTTTTGCCCCTCCGTACGGTCCACGCAGTATGGATTTTGTTTCATGATGACGAATATTGCAACGGGGACAAGCTTACGACATGGGGCTAATATTGGGCAATATCGGGGGTTCTGAAGACGGACCATGGTTTGTTTCGTAGTGGCTTGAGGATTGCTCGGGGAAAGCTTTGAAGCCCTCTGCCGCACCACTGTAGGGAATGACAATGGTTGTACCTGCAAACAGTTTTCTGGTAAGCCACTCCTTGCTGAGGCGATGCTCTCGCAAAGATGCTCAACCAAACTGCTGTCGGAAAGGGGCTCAATGTGTGTCTCGGCTGAAGATTTGGGCCCCTACTGGCCTCTTGTGCCAAAGAATTGGGTAGAATCCGAAGACCTAAGCTCAAGAAGCCACTGCCTCAAGCTGCCATGCCACCCGGGCTTCCCGAAGCCTGAACATCAAATCAGCTTCGGGAGCACAATTCTTCAATAAGTCCTAGTTTTTGCAGGCCCCGCATCCCTCTATCCCGCCGGAAAACCCTAACATCCAAACCCTAAACTCCGAACCCTAAGCAAAATGACCCCAACATCTAGACCCTAAACTCGGAAGCCTAAGCCCTAAACCCGGAACCCTCAGCAAAATGGTGCAAGGAAGGGCAAGTCAGCGAAGAGGAACCGCTTGTCTGGCTTTGTTCCGCCTCTTGGGCAAATAGAAGTTGGTGCTGTCGTATAGGGGCTTAATTAATTAGCTCTACTATTTTGGGGCTTCCTTGTTATGGTTATAGTGTAATAGGGCTTTCGGATTCTGGCTTTAAGACCCTTACTGTTATTTTCCTAGTACCCTTTGGTACCCTTTTCGTGCCCTTCCATGGTTTAGGGTTGCAGGCTTTGCCGGCTTCAGAAAGCTGAGGCCTCCGGAGTTGCAGGCCATTGGGCCCTAAATAAACCCCCAATGTTTTGGGATTAGGGTTTACCCAAAGACCCCAAAGTAGTTCCTTTTTGGGGTTCATATATAGAATCCTATAAGGTAATCCCAAGAAGGAACTACTTTGGGGCCTCTGGGTAGGTGTTCGGGCTTTGTAGCTTCTTACCTGTCGCAAATTCCCGACACCCTGAAGCTCAGACTTTAAACCTCGAGTCCTCATCCCGTGACATCAACCATGACCGGCGTCTCCCCGACACTGTCTGGCTCACAGAGCAGAAATTGACATGGGATTTGGGATCCTCGCTTCGGAAAATACGAAGAACGCCAGCATACCGCAGAGTCGTGACGCCATACATCTACTGATCTCCAAGAGCCTGGGCGCACTACTGCCACAATTCCAGGCGGAGATGGACCCCTGAGGAGTTGTCGTGACATGCGGTTTTATGCCTTTGGGCACAGAAGCCCAAGCCCATGATGCCAGATGCCAGCATGATGGTCAGGTTTCTGCAAATCCATGACAACGCAGACAAGAACAAGATCGAAAATCCGCCTCCAGATGCCTTCGTCGCTTGGCCCAGCAGTACACAGTAGGTTGCTCTGCCTGCTTCTCAATTGAGAGAGGGAGAGAGAGAGAGAGAGAGAGAGAGAGAGAGAGAGAGAGAGAGGCAGAGGGTTTTTGTTGCGAGCACATTTTCGACTGGCGTGGCCATGACAACGCCTCGCCAGTCATGTTGGGACGTGCGGAGCAGTCAGGAGTCACCTGCAGCGTTTTCTTTACATCTGGCTCGGGTTTCGGGCGCAGGGCTGAGCCCAACGACGACGCAACCGCATCGTCTATGCTCGAAATCGTCTACTCCCCCCTCCGGCGTAGGGTTTCATCATGTGCCCAGGTTCAATACAAAAGGAACACTTAACGCACCTATGTGCCCGTAGTAATTACCGTGGTCGGGTCGAGAGTGAAGTCCACAAGCCTCTGTGGCTTTTGTTTCTCTGTGTCTCCTTAAAGCGGGTTGGAGGCCGTTCAGGACCTTCGGCATTGCTTTGTCGTCAGAGGCCTTCGTTTCGTTGTTGCATCCAAACGACCTCTCAGCTAACTTTTGTGCCTGTGTCTTTTTACTTCAACCCCAGCTTGAGTCTTCGTGTCCGAAAAGACAAACGAGTGCGCACGTTGGGGTCAGCGTTTCTGGCTGCTGGGCGCAACTATGGGCCAAAAAAAGCAGTTTCCGAGGTGACGATCTACTTCGACACGAAGCAAGACCGAGAGATCGCCTTGCAGGAGATGCGGGATGCTGCTGCCATCGGCGGCACGTGGACAGGTCCGCCATGTCAGAACCGGGAACTAACACTCCTAGACCATGCATCCTTGGCTGTCGCTGTCCGCGTGGGGAGTTCGAAGCTCAGAGCCTTCCGGGTGGCAGAGGGTCCGAATTTCTACCGCTGAGCCTGCTACGATCACACACGGAGTTACGAAATACTTCTGTATCTGCAGTCTTCTACCACTAGTTGTGCTTGTCGGCTCTTGCCAGAAACAGTAGGAACATGACTTGGCATTTCTGCTTGGTATTACTATTTGTACCAGAGGGAATCTGTTGAGTTTCGTTTTGCTACTGTTCGTCTTGCCGTCTCTGCTGTGGCATCATTATTGTCGTCACTTTGCCGAGCATTGCCCGATCAAGCCCAAATTTGGGCTTCAGGCTCTGCAGGGGCGGAGATGGGCGGAGTGGGCTTAGGTCATTTATCGATTTAGGGTCCAGGGTTGCATGACGCGTGCATAGACCCAGCGGTAAAACGGGTGGGCACGGGGCTTTCTTGCTCAAGTATCCGTAAAAGAGTTGTCACGATCACAAGATGACTGTGGCAAGTGCGATGCCAGCACGAATAGTATGCAGTCGCATCGGCACTGGTGTGGTGGCAGTGGTAGTTGTGGTGGTGCTGGTGGTGCCGGTGGTGGTGGTGGTGGTCGTACGGACAACCATGGCAATGGCAGCGAGAAGAACACAGTCGCAGCAGACAGCAACAAGAGCAGCCATCCCCCTCATTATATACAGTTACTCCATTCGCCCGACACCTAGCCTTGACCAGAGTATGACTAGTCACACCCAGCTTATGTAGCTGGGCCGCAGCAAGCAAGGGAGAAGCGCATGTCTCGCCGGTGTCGGAAGTCATTCCTCACAGGTGTCGCTTGCAACCCGTCCTGATACCACAACCCTAGGCTCGTAAGGCTTTTTTTGTGCACAATTCCAACCCTGTCAAGTTTGAATCCGAAATCCATGTCATACTTCACGTTCAGATTTGATGCTACCGTGTGGGTTTTGGCAGACAGGCGGCGACCGAGACCATGCCATTACCCTGGACGATAGCTACCCAGGCCTCTGCAAGATATGGTTCAAGCTGTGCTGAGAAGAATCTTTAGTGTCGAGCTCAGGTCAGGCCGAATAAGAGGGCTTCGCCGTTACGCTGGACGATGGAACTCACGTCGAAAGTAGCTAGAATCAGGGTTTGGAGATAGCAGCAGGAAGCCACGGCTGAGATCCAACACCATTCTGTGGCGGCAAACTCGATGCCAAACTGACTCCAGTGCTAGCTGGACACACTGAGTGAGAATGGTTGAGTTTAGAAATGGACACAGCGCAGCTTGGCTTTCCGAGTGACGACCACCAGCCATACTTGTGCAGACTCAGTCCTCGTCCATACTGGGTCCATCTTACTCCATGAGTGCTGGCAAGACAACATCTCGCGGAAGGCCCTTTGAATGAGGCTCTGGGCATCATTGATGCAAGCCTACTATAAGGACACACCCGAAACGTTGCGAATCGGATTCGTTCTGTACTGATGCTCCTGCTGACCTCGCTTGTCTCCCCGATTGTGGGTGGGATCTCATGATTCTTGTTTCTTAAGAAACCTCCAGCAGCCAACTTTTCCCCAGATGCTTTTGGGGCACGTGTGCCAGAGACGCTCATGCGCATGGTCTACATCGACAAGCAGGATCTTCCTGGCTTCGGGTGTTACGGATGCATGAGTTTCAGGTGTGCATAGATCAATACCTGACAACCGGAAACCACAACCCTAGACCCTAAACCAAAATATCCTAAACCCTAAACCGTTTCACTTCGAACCGGACAGAGGAACACAACACCGAAGAACTTCATAAACTCTGACTCCGAAGCCTTATGTCACTACAAGCCCGAAATACACCCGAAGAGCCCCTATAAAGCTTAAACCCTCAACCTTTTTTAAGGGACGTCCATAAGTCGCTCTGGCTCTTGCTCTCGCTCTGTCTCTCGCACTCGCACTTGCTCTCGCTCTCTCTCTCTGTCTCTCTCTCTCTCTCTCTCTCTCTCTCTCTCTCTCTCTCTCTCTCTCTCTCTCTCTCTCTCTCTCTCTCTCTCTCTCTCTCGCTCTCTCTCTCTCTCTCTCTCTCTCTCTCTCTCTCTCTCTCTCTCTCGCTCGCTCTCTCTACGTATATGTATATATAGAAACACCAAAACACGAGTCAAACCCGAGAGCCCCGTCCTGCCTTGCCTCAAAACACCACGTCAACAGTCAATCCCGAAAGCCCTTCAAGAGCAAGCATATGCAGCCGTGCACACCATATACAAGCCCTAAGTGCTCCTAAAACCACCAAAAATTCGTCAAAATCCTGCAAAAGCAATACAGTATCTCTGGCAGGACATTCAGTTCCAAGCAGGCTGGGAGACGGGGCGCCATTCGGAACCGGCGTTTATGGACATGAGCCACGGCCGTACATGGTGTGAGAGGATGTCGCTGTAGGGGTTACGGTCGTCCCAGCTGGTGTGTCGAGACCGGGTGCGAAAAGGGGCTTTCTGATTGATAAGGCGTGAATAATGCGACACTTGTTTTCTTAGTAGAAAGAGTATCCGCAATATTAGGGTGCCATATTTAGGAGCCCTTTTGAAGGCCCGAGTCATTTGATCCCCCGGCTTTTCGGGGATTTCGGCATCTTAGTTTTGGTGTCGTCGTTGTGCGCAGGCACCTGCACCGGTCGTGTGAGGTTGTGCTGTGTGTGTCACCTTCCGACAGCGTAGAGTCCGAGAGGCAGGATAGTATCAAGGGCTGTCGGGTCTTAAGGTTTAGAGCGTTATAGGTTTAGGGTTCAGGGTGCTCCACTGCTTCACGGCGTAGACTGCAGTGATTTGTTCTGCTCCTGTCCGGTTTACGATGATCTGCTGAGAACAAGGACGCTATGGTTAGTTCTTTGTAAGGCTTTCCTTCTTTGTTTGGCCGAGGTAGGAATTCAGAATTGCCAGGCGTTCTTGTTATGCGAGAGCCTCACACAACAACAGCGTATCCTCAGACGGACACGTTAAAAGCAAAATCTTTAACTTACAGAATTACAGACAGGACCCGAACGCCCCCATTCCAGGAATCGCAGTGTAGCATGCTGTGCCTCATGCTTGGAACACGTTGCCCACGCCCCAAGCAGATCGCAAGGAATTTGCATGCTGTCCGCGATGAGAAAAGCAATCCTCGAGCCACTTTGCACCACTTAGGCGTGCTGGGCTGCACCCTCTACCCTAAACCCCCAACGGCCCAAGCCACAAACCCTACACCCTGAACCCCCGCACCGTTTGGTCTGATTCGGTCTGGAAGGAATCGATCCCACATCAGCTTCGGGAGTGCTCGCATTTGTCGGGACTGAGCAAGGTTGCCAGTCAGGGGGTGAGGTGGTTAGGTGTTGAATCCCTTTCAGCTGCAGTCCCGACTGCCTCAGCCAGACTGGCTTTACGACTTCGGATAACGCAGGAGGAAAAGGGGCGACAAAAAGGGGAGAAGCCCTGCACCGAGGTGGTGCTCTATCAGTACGATGCAACGAACCCAATGAATCCCCACGGCCTTCTCATTGCCTATGCCGAGGACCAAATGCCGATGTCTTCGGTGATTGCTCGTTTTCCGTCTTTTGGTAGGGTTCTGGGGGGTAATATGGTACCCTAAGCAGTAAGATCCTTATCATAAGGACCCCAAGATACGGTACCGGAGTTTGGGATTTTGGGGATCTTCCGAGTCTGCGGTTGGAGGTGGCTCGGAGCGGCAGCTCCCAGAGCTTCAACGTTGGAGCTGCCTGCTCCGGTCGTACGGTTCGGGGCCACTTAACCTCTGTAGAAAAAAGAGGCCTGAATGATTCCCTATCTTACTATAATTTTAGTATAATATACCCCCTCAAAGCCGTTTATACTTATTCAGGATATTACCCTTATAGACCCCTTTAAGGATCCCTTTAAAGGAACCCTACTCTAATTATTCAGGCCCCTATATTAGGCCTCCGAACATCGAGAGACATCGGTCCGAGATCCGCAACGTCGGCCCAGACTAGCCGCGAAGCTCCTCTGACTCGGACTGATACTGCGCGTGACCGCGCATTGGCATGAACAGCCATGTATCAAAATTTTGAGAGACGTCTTGAAATGTCAAGAACTCTTTACATGACTTTGTGTTTCGTTTTTTCATACGAGTACATGCATTCTGCTGGAGAAAGAGAGAGACAGGGAGAGAGACAGAGAGAGAGTGAGAGACAGAGCTGCAGGTGCTAGTCACTCACAGCACAAAATAGAAAGAAGTACATAGAAGCATACATAGAAGTGCGTAGACGGATTGGTAGATACATAGACTGACAGAAAGAGGCCTTCTTCAGTCCTTATTATAGGAATTAAGGCCTCCTCCCCCTCCACCCTGCCCCCTTAAAAATCCCTATGAGAGCACCTCTAAGCGGAGGAGTGGACGGCTCCACACAGCAGCAAAGTGGTTCGAACCGTGAAACCGGTTGTCTCCGACTTTGACACCTTCACTGTGGGCTCTTGGGACATTTATTTCAGAGTTTCTCTGTACCTTCGGATCTTTGTTCGGGTTTCGAGATTTTGGAAAGCCTCTCTCTCGCTCTCTCGCTTTCTGTTTGTCTCTCTGTCTCTGTCTCTCTCTCTCTCTCTCTCTCTCTCTCTCTATCTCTCTCTCTCAACTTGTACAGTGATAAAACTGTCTTCTGGTGTGGCCTCACGTTCTGCAGGCTCCACTCGCCCTCAGATGCAAGCCAACGCGTGTAGCAAAACATTCAGAACCCTCGTAGCAAGGCCTGCCAGCCCCAAACCACCAAACCCGCCACACACCTTCCTTTGAATGATATTTACAGCATCAACAGGCCCCCAGATCGGCGAAGTCTTCAACTTCAAGCGCATCCGCCCTAAACCTCCTAGGCCCTCAAGTCCTACACCATCCTAAACCTAAAATCGATAAAGACAGCGTAAGCCATCGTAAACCCTAAATTCTGAGGCAGCAAGGGAATGCGCTATGAGCGGCTGCCACGTGATCAGATGGAACTGGAGCTCTGGAGTTTAGATCGCACCAGGTTCGGGGGAGGGTGCCGTTGGGAAAGGGATTAGGGTTTGAGGTCTTTGAGGGTTTGGGTTGTAGGGTTTTGTAGTTGTGTCGTTTTTTGGCGATTTGATGGTTAAGGGTTGAGGGTGCTTTTTGGGAGCGGATCCTAAATCCCGTTGGTGTGGTGCTGAGGCGGTTTCGGGCTTAGGCGTGCCATGCTGACACCCCGAATGCCCAGCTCCGATTTCTAAAACGCTCTCAAACTAACCCGCAACCCCAATCCGCCCGGGCCCCTAAGCTCCGAAGACCTCCCAAACCCTAAACCCTAAACCCGAACCCCTTAAGTGCCCCCAAAGATCCGACATCCTTCCGCGCCAGGGAGATCCTAAATGAGCCGAACTCCGACTCCTGGACGTCCCGGTGGCTCAAAGCCCCGAGCTCAGAGTTGTGCAAAGGCTTGTATACGAGGTTTATAAGGTTTAGTACAATTCAGAAAGGGGTTTGCAAGCGATTTGTTGAAGGGTTTTTTCGACTCTACGGAGGCTCTAATTGATTAGCGCGTTTTGTGGAAGGTTCATGTATAGAGGTTTTTCAGAGCGCGATGTTACATGGGCTTTTTGAGGGTCAAACAGCTTTCTGGGAAATAGGGTTGAAACAGCCTAAATGCATTCCTGGGGATTTAATTTATGTCAAAGGTTCAAGTCGTTTGGTGCCACAAGTGTTTGAATTTTTGGGGGCTTGAGTGCTTGATGCCCTGTAGGGTTTTCGCACCGTTTAGGGCTTTTTGAGAGGTTATGGTTTGTGGGTTGTGACATGAGCAGCTTCCAAGTGCCACCCAATCCCCAAAGCCTTTTCTCCGCATTCAACCAGCAGCCTCACAAAATCTTCGGCCGTTCCCTACCTTACCCTAGAAGCCAAGTGACCTGTATAGCCGGTCTACTAGTCCCATAGACATCCCTAAACCCTAAAACTCTAAAGCCTGCACCCTAAACCTTAAAACAAAGCCCCAGAAAGCTTAGAGTGCCATAGACGTTAGGTCCAAGACACAGATCGAAGCTCCAAGTTGCCAAGCACGGAGGGACCTTAGCCGTCGTGTTCGGGCACCGCAAGCCTAGCTTGCTTGCACGGGTTTAGGGTTCATATAGGGTTTGGGGTTTACGGTTTAGCACTATACGGTTTGTATAAGGTCTTTAGAGACAGTAGCCTTCGTTCTCTTGAAAGCCTGGAACATAGCTTGTGCCTTGTGGAAAAGGATGAAGGTGGGGTGGAAGAGATGCTTTAATTCAGAGAAGTATGTCTCTCCAAACGGTCAAGGCACTTGAATCCTTGCACCCACAACCACGTCATCGTCAAACCACGTCCCTGCCAGCAGCGCAGCCCGCTCAGCGCGTATCGTTTTATCTAGCCCTCCCCTTCTGCAGGTCCTCAGCGAAGCCGCCAAGCAAGGTAGACGACCTGAAATTCCGCCGCACCTTGGTGTTTTCAGCCCAGCACAGATATGCAAGCAAGGCCTGGCGGTCGGTACCTTTGGACACATGTTGTGATGCCGTTGGACTCTGAAGCGCGAAGGAGACATCGCAGCCAGCGAGTCTGTGCAAGGATGCTTCCTGAAATTGTGCAGCAGGATTTGCTGTGAACGGCATCCCTGCTCGAAGAAAGCCCAAACGAACTTCATTTGTTTCATTTGCAGGGCATGCGTGCGGAGGCAAGTGGCTTGATTCTAGATTCTAAGCTAAGTTCGAGGCGAGCCAGGTGAGCATCAAAGGCAGCGATTATTGAAGAAGGTGCCGGTTGCAGCACGGCAGGGCTAGTCTGACAGCGAAGTACAGCGCCATGCTGATGGTCAAACCCTTTAAGATTCATGCGGAGTGTCGAAAGCACCGCGCAGATGATGCTGATGAGCTTTCCACCGAGCCAGGGAGGGGGGATGGAAAGCCCTGCTGCTGATGCTGATGATGCTCGCCGAGCTTGTGCAGAGTTTTTTCTTCATCGGCTTGCCGAGCCTGGAGAATGCAAAGCACCCCGCAGCTGATGCTGATGATGCTCGCCGGGCTTTGTCAGAAGGGAAGCGCCCTGCAGCTGATGCTCGTGATGCTTGCTCGGCTTTGGCAGAGTGGCTAATCATTGGCTTATCTCGCGAGCCATGGGCTACAGCTTGGGCAACAAACCTCCCCGCGGCTGATGCTGATGATGCTCGGGGGGCTTTGTCAGAGGGGCAAAGCATCCTGCACCTGATGCTCATGATGCTCGCCCGGCTGGGGTAGAGTAGCTGACCATTGGCTGAGCAAGGTTCATGCTGCAGCTAATGGTCATGATGTTTGCCCGGCTTGGGCAGAGTGGCTGACCATCGGCTTGGCATTGTTGATGCTGCGCGGGCGGTGACGAGCATGCAAATCGCATCGCAGCTGATGCTCATGATGCTTTCCTGGCTTGGGCAGAGTGGCTGACCATCGACTTATCAAGGTGAATGCTGCTCTTCGCAGAGCTTGGGCAGAGAGGGGGATGCAAAAGCATGCCGCAGCTGCTGCTCATGATGCAATGCGCACCACAGCTGATGCCGATGATGCTCACCGGGTTTGGTCAGCGGGGCAAAGCACCCTGCAGCTGATGCTCATGATGCTTGCCTGCCGTGCGCAGCGTGCTGCCCTTCATGGAGCTTGGGCGATGACGGGATGCAAAGGGCACCAAAGCTGATGTTGATAATAGCTGATGCTGATGATGCTGGCCGGGTTTTGTCAGAGGGGCAAAGCACCCTGCAGCTGATGCTCATGACGCTTGCCCGCCGTGCGCAGCGTGGCTGATGACTGGGTTTGCTGCCCTTCATGTAGTGTGGGCAGTGAGGGGATGCAAAGCGCACCAAAGCTGATGCTGATGATGCTCGCCGAGTTTTGTCAGAGGGGCAAAGCATGCTGCAGCTGATGCTTATGATGCTTGCGCGGCTTAGGCAGCGTGGTGATGCTAGCAGATTTTTGTCAGAGGGGCAAAGCACCCTGCAGCTGATGCTCATGATGCTTGCCTGCCGTGCGCAGCGTGGCTGACAACTGGGTTACTGCTGCCCTTCATGTAGTGTGGACAGTGAGGGGATGCACAGCGCACCAAAGCTGATGCTGATGATGCTCGCCTGGTTTTGTCAGAGGGGCAAAGCATGCTGCAACTGATGCTCATGATGCTTGCCCAGCTTGTGTGGTGATGCTCGCCGTTTTTTGTCAGAGGGGCAAAGCATGCTGCAGCTGATGCTCATGATGCTTGCCCGCCGTGCGCAGCGTGGCTGACAACTGGGTTAGTGCTGCCCTTCACGGAGCTTGGGCAAATCATGGAAGGGCGCCTTGGCTTGGTCAGAGGGGCAAAGGACCAAGCAGTTGATGCTCGCCCTGACTTTGACAGAGGTGGGGCTTCGAGGAGACCTGGAAAGACATCACAGCTGTTGCTGCCCGGAAGGCAGGCAATGGAGGGGACAAAGCACTCCGCGGCGGAAGCTGATGCCTCTCACTGAGCTTGCGAAGGGAAATGCAGCAGCAGCAGCAGATGTTCATGATGCTCGCCCACTCGCTTTGCATGATTCTCCTTCATGAAGCTGAGGCAACTTGCAGATAATGCTGATGATGTTGGTCGGATCTAGAGAGTCACATAAACCCTAAACCCTAAACCAATATCAAGCCGTAGCCGGTGCAGATGATGATGCTTGATGGGCTCTGACAGAGGGACGAGGCACTGTCCGATGATACTCGCCAAACTGGCTGATGCGTTTAATGACTTGCCGGAAAAGGGAATCGGATCGTTTCTCTTGTTTTCAGTATTTTTATTGTTGTTATTCTTATTTGCTGTTCATTTGTTCAGCTTATGCTGCCCTTCATCCAGCTTGTCACCTGCTCGTGCTGCAGCAACTCCGGAGTTGTTGCAAACCCTTGAATCCAAGGTATGGCTTTGGTGATCCTACATCATATGGTCTTATCGAGCAGGCTCGGATGTCAGTCGCATCATCAGATGATCAGCTCCTCCTTCAACTTCTGCCTGGCTGTAGATTTGTCTTACCTTTGGTTAGTAGGGAATGGAAGAATGGTAGTAATCGTAGTTATAATTGTACCCAATTCCTCCATTCCCTACTAACCAAAGGTAAGTTGTGGCAGGTTATCAAAGCCACCCAACTATCTGGCGCGGTTCGCCACGGCGCAGAATGCTTCAACTTCTTGTTCCCACAGGCGCGCTTCGCACGTGCGGTGTCTCGTTGTGACTCAGGCCGCGTGCGAATCCATCCGGCCGCCAGATGCCATGCTTGTTGATCTGAGCTATTTCGCCAGTTATTACAGGGTTTTACAGAAAATGGTACCAAAACGATGCCGCACAAAACTTGCAGAAGATAAAGAGACCCAGCTAAACCAACAACCCCAAGCCTGAACCCCATAACCAAGAGAAGATGACCTAGTATCGCTGCAGACCTTGCCCGGCTTAGTCCGAGAGTGAGTGTCAAAAAAACCAAAAGAACCCCCGAGATTCCTAATTGAGGCCCCTATAGTACCCTTAGAGATTCCCTATAGCAACCCCGATAATCCCCTTTAACGGAACCCTAAAATAGTATACTTAAGTATGAAGGCCCCTATATTACACCCCGCAGGAGTTGGACTCAGAGTATCTCATCGTTTGGCACGGCTTCAGCGGCAAGCCTTGGGAGCCTCCTTCTCCTACAGAGAGGGGCCTCAATAGTTGCCGGGGGTAGCGGGGCCCTGGCGTTCCTTTGCGGGCGACTGGAAGGGTCACTGTAAGGGATCTATAAGGGTATATTATTAGGGCCAAAGGGTTCCACAAAAAGGGTCCTATCAGGGTACCATAAGGAATATTATAGGGGTGTAGTATAGGGCTAGGGGCCTTAACAATTACCTGTACTATTTTGGGGTTCCTTGGTATAATTGTAGTATAATGGGTCCCAAAACCCTATTCTGTTCTAATGATCAGGCCCCCCATATTAGGGGTTGGAGGGGCTTTGGGGGATTAACGGGCTTTGGTACGTTGGTTTATGCGTTTCCTGGAGGGGCTGCAGCTGTGAAGTTCTTAGGTTCGATGGTTCAGAGTTTGGGATTTATAGTTGAAGGTTCCACACGTGCAGGTGATGCTAAAAGAGGACTTGCAGGGAATGCTGAAGCTGTTATAAGGCACTTCCGGAAGCTTGGTGCAAAAGCATCCGCTTGGGACCAAGGAGTACCATGACCAGCAGGGCTTGCTGAAATTCCTGCGGGAGCGTATTGCCGAAGGGCGCTCCAGTTGCACTCGATAGCTACCCCTAAATCGTTCTCTGTAGACACCCCAGCTCTGGACTCAACGAAGCATGTCCGAGCTTTAGGACTCACGGACAACAGTTCCCACTGTCCAGCGTCCTTAAGCGGTGCCGGGTGCAATGTCAGCTTGAAGAATATAGTGGCTTCAAAAATTACTGTACTGTCTTGGTGGCTCCTTATTCAAATTCTTACAAACCAACCTTATCTGATTATTGAGGCCCCTACATTAGGAAAGGACAAGCAGGCTCTAAGTCAGAGCAACACTGTTTCTGTTTGACTGAAGTGTCCGGACGTTTTTCTGTCGGGCCGAAGAACGGTGACCAGACTGGAGCGGTACTTCCTTTCAGTGAGCAGTCTGGAATCCGTGCTTGTGCCGTTACTTCAGCAAAGCAGCCTGCAGCAACGTAGACGCCTCAACAATAGTTGCCAATACTATTCCTTATTTAGTGCTCTTTGTTGCAACCGTACTGTAAAATGCCGTTCAGATGATAAAGAATCTGACATTATCCAGGTACTGCTTTCCTCTCAATCCTGTTTGGGCTGTGCGTGATCCTGGTTGGTACGAGGCCGGGGTTCTGAAAGCATCCACGGCAGCGAGACTTCACATTTTACCGGCATCAAGAGTCGGAAAACTCTTATGCCCAGAGGCTCCATAGTACTTCCTTTTTGGGGTTCATATTTAGAACCCTCTAGACTACTCCCAAAAAGGAACTACTACGGAGCCTTTGGGTAGTCACCGGATGCGCAGGGCCACGTTGCAGGGTTCTGAAAGCTGGCAGCCCCTGCTGCCACCTGCCTGGTAGCATTAGGGTCTCCTACTATAGAAGCTTAAGGTTCAGGGTAAGTTTAGGATTTTAATAACTACCAAATATTATTCCTCAGGGTTCCTTATTATGAGTATACTATAAAGGGACCCAAAACTCTATTCTAATTTATGAAGCCCCCTACATTAACTAACACTCCTGCTTTGGCGGATCCTCCTGGGTTCCATGAAGGCGTATCGGACTTGACGGCCAAAGACCCAAGAATGGAGCCACCACTATCCGACCCCTCACCACAGCCCCAAGATTTGGGTCCGAGAAGCACAGACAGGCACACTTCTTGGCGCTGCAAGTCAGGCAAAGATTCGCCCAACTCTCCAAGTACATAAAACCGGAACCTAAACCTCGAAACCCTAAACCCTAAACCCCGCAAAACAGCCACCGGTGGCATTCAACCAACCCAACTCAGGCACGGAGAAAAGAGGGTTCAACAAAAAAAACGCAAAACAAGAACCCGGAAAGAAATCCCCTTGGAGTCGCTTCTGGAAAGGTTTACTCCGAACTTGTGGCCAGCCAGGTGTGGCCGGTTCAGGATTTCGGGGCTTATCGGAGGGACGACGATCAGATTCAGCGAGTATTTCGATGATGCATGAGGTTTGAGGCTGCTCAGGGGTTTGAAGTTGGGATTTTGGATTGGGTGTGGGTGGGCATCTGTTTCAAGGCAACGATTTGGGAGTCAAGGTCTTGGCCCAAGAGCCTAAAATAGATGTATCGGTGTGAAAATCGGAATCCACAAAACCGTGCCGCATTCTTAAGAGGCACCTGCCCACTCTTGGGTCGAAGGTGAGACCTCACAATAAACCACGGCGAATCTTAACTCCTATATGCCCGGACAAGCTGCACTGTAGAGGCATCTGCTTTCTTGGACATGAAAACCAGTGGCGCCTTTCCACAATCAATGGAAACCACATACCGAAGAATGGCCGAAGAATTGCTTCTCTGACGGCTGTATACTTCGAACCATGACGAGGACATGGACTGAACCCAGTGCACACGTCGATGATAGTATATAGCCGAAGCGGAATGACTGAATGTTGGTGCTGAAAATTCTGTTGATGATGACGATAGTTGATGGTGATGCTGATGGCGGGAGGCTGTGATGCTCATACACGTTTGGCTAGCCAGGGTGACAGAAACGATGTCGTCATGATGACACTGATGGCTGCGATGGTGATGCTGATGATGACGATTGCCGCACATGTGACAAGCGATAGCGATAGCGATGCTGAGGAGACCACGGCCCGTAAGATCTAGAGCTTGTGTCCCCGTGTCGGCATAGCAGAGGACAACGCCACGGCGTCTCAGGAATCGAGTCGATGCGCGTGGGTGCTATAGTTTTTTCGCGGATCCTGTCGCCGTTTCTTGTCTACAGTGGAGTTCAGTTTTGTGACATGTCATTCTGCCATCTTCCCTCACGTTGGACTTGTTCGGCTCTATCTTCGTCTTGCATGTGCATCGTTACTATCCACGCCACACACCAGCAGCCAGAGCATTTACTCTACATTCTTGAACCCGATTCCTCACGTCGGGTGTTCTTCAGTTTGCAGGCGGCGCGGAGTACGATGGCATGTTGGTTCCCAGAGGACGCCATGTCACGGATTGAGCTGCGCGGCTCAAGCTTGATGTTGGCATGTAGGTTAAGGATTTCGCAGCTTTCAGTCAGTTGGTGATAGATCAGGTATTCCGAACTTGATACTGCCACCACGGGAGGGGAGTTTCTCAGAATTGTTCCAGCAGCAGCAAATGACTTTGTTTTCTGAACATCTAACCTGCTATCAAGCTTTCAACCGAACCCCAACACCCCTTCAAATGCCGCTAACCGAGGTCCATGCACCAAGAGTTTCCAGAGGGGTTCCACTCGATGGAGTCGAGTCAGTCAACCCCGCCTGGCAACAAAGAAGACGTCGAGCAGGAGCACCCAAAAAGCGCAGGTGTTTTGAATTAATTTCACGATCTATGTTTCAGGTTTTGCGAGTTTCGGGTTTCCTCAAGCAGTACATGGGCGGCGACTTTAGCCTACAGCTGGCTTCCCTTCAAAGCGGGGCTGGGACAGCTTCTCATCGCAAGAATCAAGAATCCTCACTACACAAAAGCCATAGCAATGCTCTGCCTAGGAGCACTAGCCCCCTCAGTTCCGTCCATGAACAAGGGCACAGTGTGCCAGGGGTGTGCACGGCTGCATCAGCAGCTAAATTCTTCGGGGCCCTAAATTGCGGCCTCAATCATCGGCGATACCATGCGTTGTCATCGATATTATCATTATTCGTACATATATACACACATACATGTATATACATATACATATATATATGTATATGTATAGGTGTGTATATGTTTGTTCATGTTTAGTCCTTCCAAAGACCTCTTCAGGCGCAGTTTGCACCAGGTTTCAGGATCCTTTCGCTTCGGTATGTTCAGGGTTTTCGGGCTTCAGGCTAAACCCTAAACCCCGTGGCAAAAAACCCTAAACCCTAAACCCCTAAACCGTCTGAAGTGCGGGTGCGCGCAGGGTTGTTTTAGTTGGGTGGGGTTGGGGGGGAAGGGTGGAAATAGGGCACTTGTCACTGTGATGCCAGTTGCGTGATCACTCGTCCTGCACTTCCTACCGCCGCTCTGCCTAAGAGATCCTAAGAGCACGGTGCTTATACAGACTTGACTTTTGTCTAAGTCTCCGACTATGGTCCTTGAAGGTCCTTGCTCATGCAACCTATACAGACTGTACTCCTTCGTTCAGTCCAACTACGGTCCTTGCCTACGCAACCTGTATTCTTGTCTAAGCCTTCGAGTAAGTTAATTTGAGTAATTCCGGACTCTTCAACGGGCGAGTGTGGGATTTACGCACGGATCCTGGTAACTTGCTACGGTAGAATTTAGGCTGTCAAAATACATGTTGGGGGTTGCTCCGCGTGCCAGAGATAAGATGACGCCTGAGTCCCCACAAGTCGTATGAAGCAGTCAGACACACCAACAAGACGCAAATCTCGAAGCCAATTCAATAAAAGCAAGCAACAACAAACCGCAAGTAAACACATCAAAGTCACGCAATGCCCCGTCAGTTCAAGACTCGGCCTAGAAAATCGAGACGCGCCATCCGTTGGCACCATGTCAGTACCCGTCCGCATTCCTGTTCCACACGCTTCGCCAATGCAACTTAAACAAACAAAAACACTCGTCTTGCTGTGGGGCCGCTGCAAATGGCCTCACATCGTCATACATTCCAAGGCCTCCACGTCGTGGCCGTTGCGATCCGAGTGCTCCTGCGACTGTCCTGTTGTTTCCAAACTTTTGATTTCTTCCTGTTCTAGCAATGTCGAAAACTCAAATCCCTCGAGTTTTCGACTCTTCCCAGCAAGCTCGCTCGATGAAGAGACCGATAAAACCAAAACGTTAGCATCTACATGGATTGAAGAACATTCTTCTTGGCAGCTGCGCCGAGGCATTTTTTCGAGTTCGACGCATGTTGTGTCTTTACTGGTTTTAACAAACAAAACACTTCCATGTCTTGCAGTATGCGCGTGAACAAGGCTTCGGAGCAGTATACTAGTACTATTTGTATTGTTCAAGACTTGTCATGGTTTTTATTATCAGCAGCAGTAGCAGCAGCGATTGTAGTAGTTGTAGAAGAAGTAGAAGAAGAAGTAGTAGAAGAAGTAGAATTAGAAGTAGAAGTGGATGTAGACATAGACGTAGACATAGCGGTAGAAGTAGTAGTGTAGTAGTACTAGTACTAGTGGTAGCAGTAGCAGTAGCAGTAGTAGTTTTCGTCGCAGGGGCTTGGCGTTCTTCTGGTATGCTCTTAGGGCTTTAACTTTCTGGGTTTTTATATTATATGAACTGTAATAAGGAGTCTAAAAGTTTAACTTTTAGGAGGGGTTCAGAAGTCAGCCAAGAGAGTAGATAGTCATGTTTAATGGTAGTGGCTGCTGTTGTTGCGGTTGCTGTTTCATGCAGGAACAGCTCCGACTTCAGAGCACCGGCTCTCAGCCGCTTCGATTACAGAGCAACGGCTCCACGACGTCGCCACCCGATGCAACAGCCGCATCAGGGTATACTCAATGGATATAAGGACTCTTGGATATTATTCCTTATTCATTATCATAAGCTCAGATTCCACAGAAGCCCTTCACCTCGGACGGACCCTGAAAGGCCTAGACCCTCAAGCGCAAAAGCACCCAACATCCTGAATCAAAGCGTCAAAGCCAAGCACCCCGAAAGCCTATAAAGTTCAAGTCAAACCCCTAAACCCTAAACACTAAACATTCGTTTCACTTTGGCAGACCTCGAACCATATGCCTCGCCTGGATTGTCCGAGTGCGAGCGCCGAAACACTAAACACCCATCCCTGCACACTCAAGGCCCTCGTCATGCTTACGATGTAGCTATAGTTCAGGCCAGTATTCGGGTTTTAGAGTTTAACCAGACGGTTTCCTAGACCCTGGGTACGACTCCTACGGTGTTTCTCCACAACCGCAGACTTCGCCAAATAAATGAAGACCGCAACCAACAAGCCGTGAGAGAAGCCTTTGGTGCGGCATTTTCTTTTTCAGGTTTTAGAGTTCAATGTTTAAGGTTTGGAATTCAGGGTTTGGGGATTGGGGGTTGGCAGATGCCTTGAAAAGAGGTTTTGGGCTGCACTCCGTCAACCTCGCCGCAAAAGCGGCAGCTTGGCTGCTGGTGCATGGGACCTTTTTTGCATTCTTCGAATTCGTTTTCAGTTTAAT